ACGCTAGTTTCATCGGCTGAAGCCGCTATGTCCTTTAGACTGAACGGTCGTGCTTCTCGTTGCGTCACACCTCAACCTGCCTCAAAGCCAACACTGATTGGACGTTCGTTTGGTGAAGGGCTCCAAATTTTCTTTAACGGAGAGTCTCCAGACTGATTTGCGAGTGAAACCTTGAAAGCTTGCGAGATCAGAATGGTCTCACAAGGCTAAGATTCCTCCTCTGGGACTGCAATAAGCTGCACACTTCTACCTAATGGTTGTTTAAAATGTAGAAGACAATTTTAATGTAAATGTACAATTTCCATAACAAAAATTGCATTATTATTTAAAGAAACTATTAATGGAAAGCCTGGAGTTAATCCAAAACAGATAATGGAGGTCTGACAGGTTCAAATGTAGATTCTGGATCAGCTTATTTACTTTATGGCTGCTGAGTTCCGATCTAATAATGAATCCACGCCTACGCACCTATCCCTTCAGCTAACCTGAACATCAGGCTGATGGAAAAGTGTTCCAGACGGCAGTTCAGAGTGTTTTCCTGCTATTTCTGGTCATATGACGGTGGTTTGATCTCCCTGAGTGAGGGTGAACGCCCACGTGCATGCTGTCTCCTCCCTTCCAGGTCATATTGTGTAATCGCCGCTGCTGCTGTCAGCATTACAATGTGTTACATAAGACAATTTGATGTTAGGGGCTATAATCCAGCCGTGCTGCCTGAGCGCTCCCACATCTGGGATTTCCAGCTCATGCTCAACTCTGCGTTCATCTCACTCACACCGGAGACTTTCCTCTGGGTTGCAGGCCTCATATAGAGACCTAAGGTTAAAGGACTGACACAACTATGAGTTGTCTCAGTTAAGATGTTGGAGCAGTTTTACTCCTCAAACAAACTCTTTTATTTTTTAATTCTCTTTCTGTTTTGTTTGTATGAGTATGTCTTCCACCTTTCTACCTTTGTATATAAGTAAAATAACCTTGAGCCACAGACATTATCTGAGCTGTAAGAACAGGTTTAGCCAAAGTGATTCAAGTTTTTGTTGAATCATCTATAAAAACTATAAGAGTTCATAATTTAAAAATAGTGATTTAAAGGGTATTTGAAAGACAAATTAAGTTCTTTCTTTTGGATGGCAGTGAGGTAATATTGTGATATTATTTTTAGGTTTTCTGTTTTAATAAACTAAATGAAGTATGGCATATTAAGCAGCAATTCCCTCACTTTAGAAACCTTTTATTCTTTTACTGTGATTCCATTTTGAAATTGTGAAATGTTTTTTCACTTTAAAATCTTTTAGCAGATCATTATCAGAATAATCCAGTAATAGCTTTTTAAGAATTTGTTCCTCTTTTTATCCTCTCTGTATCACGGAACAGTACTGCAGAAGGCATCCATAAGATTCATTCCCCTTCACAAATTAATAATTTGGTTGATGGGGTCACCTTCTTTCTGTGCACTGCCTTAGACAATGTAGCCATATTTTAAAATGAAGAACTTTAATTAAAAAGTGGCTGGATCCTTTGTTTAATACAGAGCTGCATACTTTGAAGAAGAGAAGAGGAGGAGAAATTTGAGCTCTACAGGCCTACAGGAATCCCGCCTATTCTGAAAAAAACAGTCTACTACTCTATGAAATGACCCTCCGTAGAACAAAAGCGTCATCTTCATAAGATCATTGGCTTCTAAACATGACTGGTTCATCTCCAGAAGGTTAGGCAGCATCTGAGGTACAGTAACTATAGAACCTGAACTGAGTTTAGATCTAATTGAGCATTCAGAGTTAGCAAAACCTTTGCCTTCAAGCCTTCAACTTGTATGTTAAATCCATTTCAAGCCAAGTTATCTAAGGAAGTATTATCTCTGATTACCGCCATCTTTTAGGTATAATTGATCTTTCCCTACAGCATGGATGTGTGCGCCAGGCTTTTAAGGTAGCTCTAATTAAACTTTTACTTAAAGACCTATAAGTAATGTTTCTTCAATCTAAAATTCTTCAGAAAATGGTTTCTAAACGTGTGTGAACACTTCCAGCATAATGAACTTTTTGAAAAGCTTCAGGCAAATTTATCATAGCACTAAAACAGGACTGGTGAAAGTCACTCATGATATCTTCATGGCCTCAGATAACGGATTTTATCTGTTCTTATGCTGTTAGATCTCAGTACTGCTTTTGATACAGTCAATCATAATATTCTTTTGGAAANGCCTCAGATAACGGATTTTATCTGTTCTTATGCTGTTAGATCTCAGTACTGCTTTTGATACAGTCAATCATAATATTCTTTTGGAAAAGCTTAACCTTTTTTAGAAATTAAAGGAACTGAGCTTGTCTGGTTTACTGTAAATGTTTAACGTGAAAGCTAAATATCCATTAAGCTCCACACTGAAATAAAATGCAGGTGTTTATCCATCCATGTTATATATTGCATTTTTAAATAAAAAATAGAAAGTTTTTCCATATTAAAATATGCATTTCTTTTTGAAGTAGAGAACAACAATCTTAGACAATTTTCCAAACTTTTCTTTGTTTTTTATGAGAGCAGTGGGCTGTAGGCTGCCCTGCAAGGCTTTAAACCTGACTTTGAATGGCGACAAAGCCATTCTCAACCACATATCAAGGTGCTAATTTTGAACCTCGATCTATATTTATTTTTGATTCTGTTCATGGTGGAGAATCCTGCTTCACAGCAGCAGGTTGAGCCAAACATACTCAAAATGTGCAGGGTTATCTTTGAGCACACCATTGCATTTTTCTTTTACTAGTTCACCACAGTTTTTCCAGCATTCTACACTTTCTCTGCTATGTTTTTCTCAGTCTTCTCATTCTTTCCCATCGCCTGGCTTGCCACAGGTTTGCCTGCTGTGTCTGAAAGCAGCAGCAGCAACTCAGACTGAAAGCTCATTGGCTAATTTGTATCACATGTAGCCTGGTCCCGGACGCTCCGGATGGCTTTACCATATTAACAGGAGAAGCGGCAGAAGTGAAGTTAGACACTGCCGTCGGACAACATGCGGTAATTTATAAATGTTTAAATCAGGTTGGGTCTGGATTATCCAGCACGTGGGTCCAGATCCGGACCATGGTCCGCTAATCTTTGACCTCAGACCTAATTTATTGCTTTACATCCAGTCTGAATAATCTTTATGTACTTTATTTTACAAAGAGGCTTGAACATAGATTTCAATCTGGTTAAACTCGTAGAAACATACCTACCGTAAAAGGAAGCTGTGATTGAATAATGTGGGCTGAAAATAAAGAAATGTTGTTATAAATTTAAAACTGTATGCCTTGTTCTTTATATATAAGTATAAGGATTTAATTTAGTCATATGAGATCAAAGGTCATAAATACAACATGCTTTTCAACACTTTTTCGATTTCACTGTAAAAAATTCAAAAGACAACATAATTCTATCCTTATATCCTAAATATGCAGTACTTTGTGTTTTTCTATCACACAAAATTATAAACCAATAGATCAAAGATCATAGTTGTAATATGACTAAGAATGAGAGAGGGATGAA